TAACCCTAACCCTAACCCTAACCCTAACCTTAATAGTATATATTCTATAAACAATTCGCGAACGTTTATATAACAACTTCTACTACTCTATATAAATATTTTATAATATAGTTCTATTTATTCTTTTAACTCTTTATTATATAAAATAAAGAAGTTTTTTATTCTAACTTCTAACGTTAAACAGAATATAAATATAAGAAACTAAATTTGTTTTAATTTCTATTAAATAATAAGTTAAAGTTAAATATTATAAAATTACTAATATTTAGAAAGTAAAGTAATTTATATATTTCTATTAACTTTATATTTTTCATTCAAAATCCTAAATTTCTAATTTTAAATTATTTATTCTATTTAGTTATTATATTAATATAATAAAAGTTAAATATTTAAATATAATATTAAGTTTCAAGTTAGTATAAAGTTATTTATACTATAAATAATTTGAGTATAAACTATACTTTATTTTCGTTATATAAAAAAAACGTATTTATATTATAAATAACAAAAATTAATATTAGTATATTCTTCTTTTATTGAAAAAAAAAGCTCTAATATAAGAAGTAAATAGACGAAAGCTTCGTTTATCGTGTTAGGAACTTCTTCTTCTATAGTTAATAGTCGGAGTAAGTCTTATAATATTCCGCGGATCTAGAACTAAACAATTTATTACAGTCAACTTATTACAGTCGACCGGCCTGTGCCTACCCCCTTGTCCGGGGGAGATTAGCGCGGAGAAAACGCTCATTACAGTCAACTAAGCCCGAACGCTAGAGGTAGGACTGATTAAGAGGGATTTATATAGACTGCAATCTAGCTAGTTCGATGAGTAGTGTGACGATTAGCGATAGTGACAAAAAGTAAATTTAACATAACGGAGCATTAGACTAGGACGTCGTTACCCAGACCACGTAGTGTCTTCAGCTTCTATTTGTGTATTGACCAACAACACCCTGAGGCTCGTAGTTGAGTGGTGTAATGCATTTTGTTGTTTCCATTGGAACATGAACCACATTTAGATAGATAATGTTTTATATGTACTTGAAATTTGTATCACTAATTGACATGACAATACATTGTATCTTTGCAGGACAACTGTCTACCTATTATTTGGACCACTAAGTAACAAACTAATTAAAGTTGGCGCCATCCATAATTCCTAGCGCTTCTGTCTCCCAGATCTTGAAGGTACCCCATGACTCTCTCCTCAATCCCCTGAGCATCCAGTGAAAACCGCCGGTAGTTGCTTTCTTTACTAGCACTGTACCCAAAGCCTGTCATTCCAACACTTGCTGTGACGTACCTGGCCCAAGTTGTGGCAACGTACTCCTCAACGCTCACAATCGGTCTGTCATCTAGCGGGAACACGGACTCTTTGTATTCCTGGCTTTGAAACTCGAAGAGACATAGACTTGGAGCGCTCACGAGGCGACAGTGTACGTTTTTGGCTCTCAGGGATTCTGCCGCCGCAACCGTGTAGTGGAGATTTGTACCGCAGCTGACAAGCGTGATTTGCGCCGCTCGATCTTCGTGGATAACATAGGCGCCCAAGGAGACCTTTAGGCGGTTTGTTTGTGGAACTGGACCGACGTGATCTCGTGCTATGGAGAGCATGGACGGCGAATGGCGGTTCTCAATGGCATACTGCCAAGCCCCGATCAACTCTTCACTGTAACACTTTCTTTCAGCCACCAGCTTCATAAACAGGGGACGAATTCGACTCACCCGTCACAAGGACGAATATAAATCAGGTTTGGCATTGCACGAAACAACGAGTCTAGCTCGACGGGTTGGTGGGTAGGTCCATTTTGCCCTTCCGCAAAGGAGTCGTGGGATGCGATATGGATAACCTGTAGATTACTTAGAGCCCCCATCCGAACGCCAGGAGCAGCCTATTTACAACTAATCAGATAAAGTGGCGTAGATTGTAAATCAGTCTTACATAGAGATAGAACATAAAAAATGTTGCTGTGAATGGCAGAAAGGTGCCGGGGTTGTAAGCCGCGAGGCCGTTTGCGATTGATGCCATTGCGTGCTCTCGAACACCGTTGCGGATAAATTTGCCTCTGTATTGCTAATAGAAGATGTAAGTAGGATGTTTATAAAGTGTTCAAGGGGCATTACATTTGATGGATGAAAGACTTCTTCTTCCGTATATGATATCTTGTTGGCGTTTATGAGATCTGCACCTCCACCGCACAATGCTGGGCAAGCTTCCGCCAAACTTCTTAGTATAATACCATTGACTTCCCGAGTCGCTAAGCCGTCAAATTGTGAGATGTCGAGATCTTGTAAAGCGTTCTTCCAGTCTCCAAAATCCCCCTCTGTCCTTGAGATGAAAGCAGCAGCGGTTTTGGGGTGAGTATGCTTCATATTAGACAAGAGCGTCTGCCAATCACGTTCTAACTTCTCCCCATGAGTTTTTCTCTCTCTGAAATATTCTAGGGCTATAGGAGACACTTGATGCGTAGAATCTGGCGAGAGGCCTGCTAAACGCTTTGAGCAAGCGATACTTTCAGGGTCAATCGCACCATGGTGTGCTTTTGCTGTGCCTGCCACAGAAGTTCCCACGCCAATAACCGTTTGAACGTGAATGAAGGTAGGCCTTTCTTGCTTCTTTGCAAGCCTTAGGGCTTCAACAATTGCCGGTACGTCGTAGCTACCATTAGTGACATTAAGAACCTCCCAGCCGGATGCCCGCATCTTAGCATCCGCATCCTCGGTGTTGGTCCATTCCAGAGGGCCATCACATGTGACTTGGTTGTCGTCGTATATTAGGATAAGATTATCTAACTTTAAATGGCCGGCAAGACTTATAGCTGCAGAATCTCTCAGTCAGTGGTAAGATGGCCCTTGGGGGAGAGCTGAAACTTACCTTCCAGGGCTACACCTTCCATCAAACAACCATCTCCTGTCATACAGTACACCTTAGACTGTACGATTTCGAATTCTGGCCTATTGAAATTTGCTGCAAGGTTCTTAGAAGCAATCGCGAGCCCGACTGCGTTCGCTATGCCCTGTCCAAGTGGGCCTGTCGTGATTTCAATCGCACTGACATCAATTTCAGGATGGCCGTGGCAAATTGTCTCGAATCCATTCTCTTTCGGATCTGCATATCCCTTAAGTTGTTCCATTGTCCACGCCTCGTAGCCCACCAGATGGTTCATTGCGTATAAGAATGCACTTGCGTGTCCTGTAATGAATAGTGAGACTCCACCTTCAAATATTCAACCCTTGAGTAAATACCATTTGATAAAACAAATCGGTCTCGATCAAACCAGTCGGGATTGGCTGGATTATATCTCATGATATATTTCCACAGCGCTACGCCAATTGCTGCCATGCCCAAGGCAGACCCGCCATGGCCTCCGCCATTCTGCATGCACATGTCCAGGACGAGATTCCGGACTGCGAGAACAGCATGGTCATCGTCCGTCGCAGGAAACTGTTTCCTTCCTATCGGTGCAGACATCGTTACTGGCGACTTCGGGGTTTGGTTATAGTGAGTAAGACTGGTCAATCAAGGAAACTTGTAACCTTTGAAACTTTTTGATCTAACGTGGTTTCATTTACTTAAGATAAGCAATAAGTCTGCAGATGCCACCGAGTATATACCTGTAATCATGTTTCCGCGCTAGCGAAACAGTACGGTACCGTAAAGTGCATGGGGTTTCGGCGCCGAGCATAGCGAAGCTTCTCGGCCCCGGTTACCTACACAGAATGAAATAAATACCCTCCGAGCCTGAGGGCCGATTACATCCATCGTACTCTCTATCCCGAGTCTTACCGGTAATATATTAGCGCAATAGTACAATAAAGCTCAATCTGAATCTCAGTCTCTACTTCTTAGACGTAGCGGGTTTTTCGGTGAAAACTTAGAAATGCGGCGAGCGGATTAGCTTCAATGCCGCTGACTAAAGTAGCTTTCTATAAAAGCCCTTCGGTCAAAGACTACTATCTCTACTCCCTTTTAAACTAGTATCTCGTCGTCTTTTAACACGTTCTCGTTATATTTTTAAAAAATCCGATTCGTAAAGTTACTATTTATTATATTTATAAATCTTACATTATTTTGAAAGTAAATAATTAAAATAATAATTATAATTTATTAAATATAATTACTATATTGAAGTGGAACTGTAAATGTCACGTGAGCGTGCGACTGGAGGAATAGGGGTATAAAGAAGCTCCGGGCACGCGTATATTTTTATTTTCTTTCTAGGTAGCTACAACTCCAAATAACTCTTGATTCGCAAACAATCACTTCTACCTCTTCACATTAGTGATCGAAAAAAGACTATCGCTGACAAAAATATTACTATCTGATGTATTTGACGCCCCAATAATATTCGCTTCATGCACGGATATCTGGCCTGATAGCCCCAGCTTGTTATTGAGAACTTGAACTGTCAATGACCGCGATAGGCTTCGCTTCTTTTCTATGTGGCCCGTCCACAGTATCATCCGTTGTTCCTATGCCATCGCCTTGTCCTTATCCTCGAAGGTTAGAATAACATCCTTGGCGCTATTTTCGTATATAGGGTTTATATTCGAAGGCAGGAGCATGCGCATCTCCTTCCCCGACGGGGCGATCTTGCAGTCCAGCTCCGCGCAGAAGGAGTCCAAAGTTTGCAGATAATTGTAATAGCTTTTAGCAGATGCGGGGTGTGAAAAGTAGATAGTAAGCCAACAGTAGTCGCGGGGGCCAGTGACTTCGGCGTTCAACCTGAGTATTGGGCTCGTCATTGAGATCCAGCTGATCGAAAAGTCTCGGGGTCAGGAGTGTTGTAAGTGGAATCTCCGGGAATGGTCTGGAAAGTGGGACTGCTTGATTTCATATACTAGACGAGACACCATGTTGCGGACACCAAATCAAAACAAGACACCATGTGCCAGTGTAAGCAATCCTAGTATAGCCTCTCTCTTCGAAAACCCGCCAGTTTGATTCGTTAACACTATGATAGTAGAAGCGCGTCAACGAGTCTCTGGCAAGAGATTCCTCGATACTGTCCGCCTCATTCGGCACGGTAGGGAGCACTGGCTCATCACTCGTCTGCTCCCTTGATACGTGATGTTGATCCTGGTGGTCGACCACGATGCTCTGGTGTGAGACACTCGATCCAGAAGTCCCCCGAGGGGTTGGCAGAGCCTTGCGACCACCGGGTTGTAAAGAGTGTCTGCGCTTTACCATCCCTCTCTTGGCCCTATGCTGCTCTGCTATAACAAATCTGTGGCCCTATCAAAAGTATTCCGATCAAACGACTACATAAGCATTACGTAATGCAAAACGAGGAGATCAAAGGTTGTCGTAGGCTTTTTGGATCAAGTCTCACGTGCAATCGTTGCCAGCATTGATGCAGCTGACACAGGGTGGTCCAAGGTCGAGCTTACATCGAACCTTTCGTCTGTAGCAAATGTCGTAGGCTATGAGGAGTTCGACTGTCACAATTGTCCTCGTATTTCTCAATTATAATAACCCTTTGCCAGACAGTACTCCACTGAAGCCAATCGTGCATGCGGTTATGTTGGTAATAGAGGAAGCATCCGCATGGATTTTTCTATGGTGGGGTCAGGCTAGATGGGGTAATTCCGTGGGGTCAGTGCGGAACAGGGAATTCGAGCCAACAGTTTAAGCATCTTGAAGGCGAATAATGTAAGAACAAGCTTCCTTTGCAGTAAAATCATTGTTGTATTGAATCGGGCCATGTAAGATTTACGGGAGCTATGTTGTACTGCACCACGTTGTATGTACCCTAAAAATGTACAATCACGACATATTTTCCTCTATAAAGGGCAATCTACTACCACAGCACATATAACTATAACCAGAGTCATCTAAAGTATTTCATCCAAGTTTAGGCTATAATTAAATATTCCTATATAAGCTTCTATTAAGCATAGCATGTCTCAAATTGACTTGTTGAAGCGTTGCTTATGTCTCTTTTCATAGAGGTTGTAACGGTTCTGTTATTCTTCCGACGGGGAATCCTAACAGAGGTGTTCTGTTTCGTTTGCGTAGCGAAGTAATGCAGTGATCTCTTCTAATGA